CGGCGTTGGGGAGCGATGCTCCGCCCCCTGCGACGTCCCTCAAACAGGTGCTAATAAAGTAACAAACCCTACGCGTTTTGTATTGTGCAACAGTGGACAAAATGTGTACGGTTTATTTTACTTCTTTATTGGTTTATTTTTTAACTTGTGTTACACATTTATGTTGGATCCATTTTTCAATTTGTTTTGGTGTACTTTTTACCTCATGGACCTTTTGTGAGTGCAATATTATGAATAAATCTATTTTAATATCATACAGTTTTGCACTATGTCTGCCATTTTATTTCCTCATATATGATATTGAAACAACTGGGATTTGAAGCACAGAATATTCCAGCTGTAAGTGATTTCTGCTCTGCCTGCCAATACCTTATTCTTGTGAGTGCAATAGTTCATTAACTACTACAGGGTGTTTTATTGTATTACACTATTTTGCAACATTTTTTATTGTAGATTATTGGGATTATACATTTATGGGGTGCGGCTTCATGCAAAGATTTGTCATTTTACATAACCCTTTTTGCTTAATTTAGGATGTTTAAGGGTGCTCTAACTGAACAGCAGAAGAACTGTGCATGCAGGAGCATGGTCTTCTCTCCTTTGCTGTCTACACAGGTGACTATTCTGTACTACAGGAAGTATGAGCACATGATGTAACACACAACAGGAGAACTTGCTAAGAATAAAACAGTAAAAGGTCCATGTGATTACAGATTTTCTGTAGCAACCCCCCAAATTAAACAAGACTTGCGTTTCTTCATAACTTGCCCTGTGATGGAATTCCATTAAAATTCAAGTTTAGCAGGCCAAGCTTGCCACAAGGCATATGTAGGTACATGTGTTTGTAGTATCAGTTAGTTCGTTACACGTAGCTAAGATACCGTCATCACTGTACTGAGCATGTGCAGGAATGCAGGAACTGGAATTACGCGTTCCTCTCCTTTGTTTCAGATGAGCCACGTGGTTAGACCGGATGGATGAGTTTAGACTCTATTCATTGATTAGGTTAAGAGTATGTGTGGGCGTAGCTAATTATGGGAGGAGCTACAGTGCTATATAAGGAATGTACTCTATGTATTCAGTACTCAGATCTTTGCTGTTTTTGGTGACATAAGTCCCTCTGAGTCCCGGTCGGTGAATCAAATAAAGATCTCTTCCTTCCTGAAGAAACCTGTGTCCATCTCTCTGTGCTTGGCCTCCGTCAGTTTCCCGGTAACTGCCCGAGTGCCAATTTAATTTCAGATATTAATGTTTTTGATAGAATATGTTGATATATTCTCAAATATTTTTGAATATCTGTAATATCACTTATAAAGTAAGGTTTTCTATAAATGTTGATATATTTTACTCCCTATACTCTGAAGTAATACCATAATAAGCACCTGCAACTCAGCTAAGCATGCCTTTTTAATGTATGAAAAAACAAAACCCTAGAAATTTGTATAAAACACTATTTAATACTCACAAAAGAAAAACCAAAACAAAAGAAATGTTTGGTTTGATTTGCAATGGACCGCTCTCCCTTTAAAGGTTGCTTGCAGTTCAGCATCTGTCTTATTACAGTTGGATTCAGTATATCCCATAAACACTGCATGAATCAGTGTAGTCAGCTGCATTGATTATGTATCCAAGTCATTTTTGTCTTTTTAATGCATTAGCAAAACTAAGAGATTGAATGAGATTCACTGACTAGGACATAAATTGCTCTTAATGAGCTAGTCACAGAGAGAAAATTAAAGCCTGCAAAAAATGTATCAACAATATATTACGAGGAGTGTTTTCTGCTGGTACCACATTAAATCCTTTACAATGACTCTGTTACATACTGTTCTCTCGTAAACAGTACTGCAATCAAGAAAATATGTGGAAAGACAAATTAGCCCAAAGGATATTTCTTCTTTAAATGCCAACAATTTACTGTAATGAATCAGAAGAGAACAAAGAAAAAAAAAATGAATCTATTTATTATGCAGAACATCTGATAACCTAAGGGAACCTTACTAAACATGTTCTCTCGGATGCAATTAAACAACTAAAAGATAGAATGTCAGGTGTTGTTTTCCCCAAAACCACCAGTGGGAAACAAAAATTGTATGTGGAAATTTTTCAGTGGTATAAACCCCCCCCCCCCCCCCAAAAAAAAAAAACACCCTAAAAAAACTAAAATAAAAACAGAAATAAACAAGCGCAAACAGGTACAGCATTGCAACCTCTGATGTTCAATGATGATTGGTTATTTTTGTGATTTACTAATCAGATATTCTTTAATATCAGTCACAGCGTTTAGTTGTAAGAGGTCCCTGTGATTCAAACTATAGACCTATTTTTGATAAGGTTGGAAACCCAAACCCTTTATGCAGTATGCACATCATTTCTGTCCTCTGCTACGAAAGTGTATTAAAGAAAGCAGGAAGGTTTAGTAATAGAAAAATAGTTCATTGTATGGTGCTGGCAGGAAGGCACTGAAAGTTTTTTGAGAGCAAAGAACAGTTGGGGTTTGTGCTCCCGGGTATTTGAACATTAGTGAGAGAAATATGTGTAAACTACTATGCAATGAAATGAAAAAACAAACAAAAAAGCCCAGAAAAATGTAGACTTTATACACGTTTATGAAATTGAATAGGATTCTTTTTGTGCTCCTTAAAATCTGATCTTGCTTTTATATCAGCAGCTGTGAATTACTTTTGTTGTAAAATGTACAAATATTTTCCAAGCCTGCAGCTTCTCTGTAAGGAACTACTGGGGGATTGCATTAAATTGTTTGGCAGAGTTAGGTTAAAATAAACAACCTACATATCAATTCCTACGCTACTAGCTATGCTTGAAAACAAAAGGATTTGTCCACATTTTCAAATATAGTAATTTGACCGGCGGGCAAAGAACACTCGTCGTACCATACTGTACGTTATAGGCATACAAGACGCACAAGTCATAATACTTGCCAAAAGAAATTCTGCTGCAAAATTGAAAGACTAACTGAGACTGATTAGTGGGGAGGGGGACAGAGGCAGTAGAGGGGGCACCAGGGCAGTAGAGGGGGAACAGGGGTAGTAGAGAAGGGGACAGGTGCAGCAGTGGTGGGCACAAGAGGTAGTAAAAGGAGAGCACAGGGCTAGTAGAGAAAGGGGACGGGGGCTATAGACAAAGGGGCTGGGTGCTATAGAGAGGGGAACAGGGACGATTGGCTTTGGTTAACACCTCTGATGATGTTAGCCAAGTAGGTAGATCAGGGGCAGAGACAGCAGCAGCAGACGTGAATAAAGATAAGATTTTTTACTATTTTTAGAGAGACTATGTACTATTTGTGGATGACATCTTTTTAATTTGGAATGGTTACCCTGGACAGTTACAGTCATTGGTAGGAAGTATAAATCGATTACCTACATCAGTTTAGTTATCCTTTTCTTGGAGTCAGGAATCCATTCAATTTCTAGATTGGAATTATTTTTTGTTATTGACAAGGTTAGTCATACTTTATATCCACTACATTTAAAAGAATGAAATGCAGTACATGATAAAGAACTTTCAACTATGTGGATATTTCTCACAAGTGTTGGATAAGGCCAAATCTAAAGCTCTTCAAATTTGGCAGTCTGGTGTCCCAGAAACTACTAGAAATAATTCAAACGCTATTAGGATTTTCATGCCTTTTCACACAGGTACTACAAAATACTTCTTCAATTGATAAATACCAGAGAATACTGAGACCAAATCAGAATCTACCAACTATTTTTTAGAAACATCCAATTATCAATTACAAGCACACTAGTGATCTTAAGGATCTACAAGTTTGGTCAGATCAGTTACATGTCTACTTAAAAATTCAAAAGAAGGATCGTTACCAAATGAATTGGCTGTCAAACACAGCTGCCTAATCACTGGAACATCATTCCCACAATCTCAAAGCAGTTTACATATACCAATTTGAAACTACATAGCATATATCACAGATAATATTATATTCCTGCTTGCTTCACTAAACTGGATTTTAGCTTCAGACAAGCAGATCATTTTGTGAATGTCTTAAATATTTTAACAAAGTCCCTTGTTATGTCCACTTGGCTTACTAATAAATCAAATTCTTAGTGGAGAATAGCCAGTTAGTATAGCTTCTTCAGAACTCTATACAGCACAACAGTAATATATAATGATTTATAATTTCTTAAATACACTGGAAACTTTATATCATGAAATAAGAACCAAGAATGACCAGACATGAAAAGAACCAACAATTTTCCTTATTTCCTTTGATATAAAGGACTGACTACTTCTTACAGTAAATGGGTACATACGAACACATACATAAAAGGCAGAAGAATATAAACGCTATCCCTATCAAATACAGGTCTCTATTTAATAAGCTTTTTTAATGATGCAAAATCGATCTAAAAACTTTCCAAATTATTTATCTACAAAACGGTGCCATAGACTTTAATGGTGACTTCTCCAGACAAATAATTTGGAAAGTTTTTCTAGCAGTATTGCATAAATTTAGAGAGCTTATTAAAACAAGGCCACAGTTCGCAATAGAAGATAACAAATGTATGTTATTTACAAACCAAAATACAAAAAAGGTTATCTTTGCAAGAATTCATCTTAATCAAATGGATGTTACTTGATTTAAAGGGACACTATAGTCACCTGAACAACTTTAGCTTAATGAAGCAGTTTTGGTGTATAGAACATGCCCCTGCATCCTCACTGCTCAATCCTCTGCCATTTAGGAGTTAAATCCCTTTGTTTATGAACCCTAGTCATACCTCCCTGCATGTGACTTGCACAGCCTTCCATAAACACTTCCTGTAAAGAGAGCCCTATTTAGGCTTTCTTTATTGCAAGTTCTGTTTAATTAACATTTTCTTATCCCCTGCTATGTTCATAGCTTGCTAGACCCTGCAAGAGCCTCCTGTATGTGATTAAAGTTCAATTTAGAGATTGAGATACAATTATTTAAGGTACATAAAAGTGGAAAGATAAAGGGGAGGGGGGTGCAAAAGATAATAATACTATAGTATACGTATGTCAATAAATCACTGGATCAGTCTGATCCAGTGATTTACTGACATAAGTATACTATAGTATTATCTTTTGCACCCCCCTCCCCTTTATCTTTCCACTTTTATGTAATTTTATAGTGCCTTTTGGTGATTTTTTTGGCATTTGGGAGTAGTTGCTGTGTTTCATTTTAATAATAGCGCCAATCCACCTATATATATTTATCTTATTGTAAGAAAATATAATTTGTTTGTTTTAATTATTTAAGGTAAATTACATCTGTTTGAAAGTGAAACCATTTTTTTTTTTCATGCAGGCTCTATCAATCATAGCCAGGGGAGGTGTGGCTAGGGCTGCATAAACAGAAACAAAGTGATTTAACTCCTAAATGACAGTGAATTGAGCAGTGAAATTGCAGGGGAATGATCTATACACTAAAACTGCTTTATTTAGCTAAAGTAATTTAGGTGACTATAGTGTTCCTTTAATATGTTGTGGCATGCATTATTAATACTAGAAAGCCTTGCACCAGTGTTCGAGATTTCCAAAGTATGTCTCAAAACAATGACAAGTTGGTGCTACTGTTCTTTGTCCTACCTACTATGTGATTAAAGGATAATTAATACAGGTTTAAGAGGAAATAAAAAAAAACCTGTAATGTAGTATGTTTGTTAAGAGTACAGGCTTTTGGTTTCCTCCAATCTACATTATTTGATACAAAAAAATTATATATATATATTTCCCATAGGGCAAAGGCTTGTTAAAATGAAAAAAAAAAAACAAAAAAAAAAACCAACCAACTAACCAAACGCATTATACATTAAACATAGCACTAAAGTTCTAACTGCCAGTTAGCGTGTTACTTTCAACTTTACATCTAGAGGTGCATTTGATGGATTTTCTGTCCTTGTCAAATAGGGAAACAAGATGCTAAATACAGATACTAAATAGAATATGACAATAAATACAAAATAAAATAGAACATACCTGATCCAAATTAGATAAGCTGTTCGGATCTTGACTGAGTGCCTGATACTGTCCCCGAAGTCGGTCCCCAGCCGCAATTTTTCTGAACTTCTTTAAGTCCACCACATATAATGCACTAGAAAACAAAAAAGCATTTATGAGGTTTCTAGATATCACATTATATAGAAGTTTGTGAAACAATGATACTTAAAACCTGTATTAAATTCAACCAGGTGAAATTTAAGATATAAAGAGATAAAATATGAGATTTTTGTAGTTCTAAAATTTCCATGGGGCATATTGTGTAATTAATGCAAATATAAGGATAAATATGAGGTCCCTGATTCTAGGGAAGCCTTTTCATTTCCACCATTGGCATTGTCTCCTTTTGAATGAAATGGGTGGTTGGGGTTGTAAAATAGTGAATCTGTCCAGATTCGAGAGATGTGAGAGAGTCCTTAGATCAATGTCTGTGGAATGGGTGGAACCTTGGAGGACAATACCAGACTAGAAATGGGTGGAACTGTGGAGGACAGAGTTAACCATAAGATGGAGTTGAGGGATATTTCTCTAGAGTCTAGATAGATCAGCATATAGCCATCAGGGGACATCTACTCTCTGATGAACCTGTACTAGGATATGTTATTGGAATTACTTTGTAATAAGAAAATAGTAGGAGTGTAGAAGGCTCAGGCCACTGGACAGTTTAGGCTTGTGACAACCACCTTTTTCTTAGCAATCACACGTTTAAGGGAGATATACATTTTCAGCACAACTGATAGATATATTGCTTACAAAACAGTCTGCATCATTCTTTATACCAAATTATATTTACCAAAATATGTCACAGCATTAAAACTCTTCACGTCCCTTAATTTTCTGATTTTAAGGAATGTAGTTAAATTATGTTAATTATATTTTAATCCTGATTTAAATTAATACGATTATACATAAGAAATACTGATTTGCTAAATAAATGATATTACCCAAACATTAAGAAGCCAAGCCACAAAAAAAAAATAATATATATATATATATATATATATATATACATATTTCTAAGTAGAGCTAATTTCAATAAAACTAGCATTACATGGCAACTAAAAGGTTTTTAGTCAAGAATGGAATCATGCCAAACAGTATGCTTTGCCGAGATAATTATGCTATATCATAAAGTTATTAAATAAAATTGTGTCATGTGTTGTTCATGTTACATATGTTTCAATGGCCTCATACATCGGTTATTAAAAAACATTGAATAATATTTCCATTAAACATATTTTTCTGTTTAATACTAGTATGCCACAAATTGATCATGCCACTAATCGTGATATTGTACTCCTATATATCACCATAGTTACATGAAATTTTTTTTGTTCCATTTGGAAATATACATAATGGCCAAACAAACAAATAAGGCACTTTGGATCAAGCAATGCTTAATTTCTATACTGAAAAATATATGTTTTATGAACTGTAAGCATGTTTATTATTTACTGCCATGGATAGAATTGATAGAAGTAAACAGCTTTAAATCGACTGCTAAGTAAACGTGCTAGAAATAATTCACAATTTCATGAAGTTAATGAAGAAATTAACAATTATATTAATTTAATAATGCTAGTTAATGCTAGGCTGGTTAATGAACCAAATTGTAAATCTTTGCACACCTCATAGGCGTAATTTAAAGGGACACTATAGTCACCAGAACCACTACAGCTCAATGTCCCTGCAGGCTGAGAAATGTAAATGCTGCCTTTTCAGAGAAAAGCATTGTTTACACTGCTGCCTAGTAACCCCTCTAGTGGCAGTCACTAAAGGTGTTTACTAGTCAAGCATCTAGTTCAGCACCTACGTTCAGCATCTCCATGCCCTTCATGGAGATGGAGAACGCTCCCATAGAGATGCATTGACTCGTTGCATCTCTATACAGAGATGCTGATTGGCACAGCATGGCATTTTGCCATGAAAACACAATAGCCTTGCAATGCTTTCCTATGGTAAAGCATTTAATTGGCAGAGATCATCAAGATCTCAGCCCTGGAGGCAAGGCCAGCTGCGGCAAATCCGGCACAGCGAGGGAGAAAAGGTAAGTTTAAAATCTTATTTCTCCACTCTAAAGGGGGCCAGGGACCCTAACAGCTACTTCAAAATTATAGTGTTTGTAATACACATATTCCTAACACTGTAATGTTCCTTTAAACTCCTGCTGGGGTCATACTTCAGTTAATAAAATCAATATCATATAACTAGGGAGTCACTCCAGGACATACTTGCAAATAAGAATCTCAATGTAACTTGTTTTGATAAACCCCTATATTTAATAAGTGCGCATTCATTTTCTACCTGATGTGGTATTTTCTATGTCCGAGATGCGAAGCCCAATATCCAGATTTCCAGAAACGGTAACCGTCCATTTCTCGACGACTCTCACAAAAAGGAGTGTAACCATAAGGTTAATAAAATCAATATCATATAACTAGGGAGTCACTCCAGGACATACTTGCATATAAGAATCTCAATGTAACTTGTTTTGATAAACCCCTATATTTAATAAGTGTGCATTCATTTTCTACCTGATGTGGTATTTTCTATGTCCGAGATGCGAAGCCCAATATCCAGATTTCCAGAAACGGTAACCGTCCATTTCTCGACGACTCTCACAAAAAGGAGTGTAACCATAAGGTGCCCCTCCAAGGTTGAAATCTCGTAGTTCTCTTAAATCTGTTCTTACAATCTATAGCAAAAAAGAAAAGAGCAATGCTTTAGTCAGCTATATAAACACCATACTATAGAAGTTGTAAATCAAACTGTGCAGCACCCATGGGTGAAGGTACCCAAAAAGTGTGGGAGAAGTCTTTTACTAAGACAAAGTTACACAGAGAGTTTAAAGCGTGACTCCAAACACTATGGCCACTTCAGTGATTTGAAGTCATCATGGTGCCTGGAGATGTCAGATGTTGTAAAACCTGCCTACAAAAACACAAGGAGCCTGGCAGGACCTAGGTAAGATGGCAGATCATTGCAAAATGGTTTTCTGTATTGCCAGGAAACAGGGCCAGGATAATTCTCGCATTTTAACTCCTGCAGTGGGCTGTAGTGGTAACAAAACTCCTGCAGTGGGCTGTAGTGGTAACAAAACTCCTGCAGTTGGCTGTAGTGGTAACAAAACTCCTGCAGTGGGCTGTAGTGGTAACAAAACTCCTGCAGTGGGCTGTAGTGGTAACAAAACTCCTGCAGTGGGCTGTAGTGGTTATAAAACCCCCGCAGTGGGCTGTAGTGGTTATAACGGCTGGAGCAACCATTTAATTTCCTGCCATAATCAACTGATAGGTGGAGCTACCTACATGTTAATGCTATAGGGTATCCAGAAAAAAATAAAGACACACCTTTACATATATTTTTCATCCCTCTTAAACTGTAAACAACAAGACGTTAGTGGTTTTTAGCCAGCAGAAATAAAGTTGTAGTAGGTCTTTCATATTACATATGTAAAGAGATAAGATATTTCAATACAGATGAACTTGCCACCAAATCCTGGTTGTGTAAATACATTTCAGATTGGTTCATTATAAGTTAAAAAAAATAAAGAGCTCAACTATTAGTGAAAATAAATTCACTTCAGGGGCACTATAATTCATACATAGCCGTGTCTATAGAGCAAATAGTTTTAGGGTGCCATCTATTGTTATTGACAAAATACCTGAATGGATAAAATGTCTATTTATTAATGTCTATTTATTCTGTGTTCACTGTGTAAAACTGGCTGCTAGAGTAAAAGCTTCCCTTCCCCCCTCTGTGTGCTCAGTAACATTTCCTCTGTAAATTCCTCCCATTCTGCTACCCCCCCTTCCCATCGATCAAGCCTCGTGTAACAACTTCATGTGTTAAAGGAATGGCTTCCTTTACTAACTCCTCCCCCACTTCCTTTGTGCAACTAACCTGGTTTTGTGCTGCCCTAACCAGGATACACCATATACAAAGTATCAGCCAGCATCAGCGGCAGAGGAGTGACTGCCTCCCCGACTTCAGCCGTGCTAGTAGGTCTTAGTGCTTGCTTAATTAATTCCATGGGAATAGACATTTTGAGTAGCACTACTGTGATCACTGTGGGCTCCCCTTTAGTGGGG